GCCCTGAAGCCATTTCTATTTTTACTCTAATTTTTCTTCTACCAGCCCAAACATCATCATTAGTTTGTCTTAAGTCTTCAGTTTCTCCCTTCAAGAAATTATCTTGTTGCTCTTGCTTTCCCCAAATACTAAGAAAAAAGAAATCTAGTCTATAATTATATGTAGTCCGAAACCCTTCATATGGACCAGCCATCTTCCTTCATTATCTCTTGCTCTTCGTGTATTTAAGTTTCTGTTTTAATTATTCAATTTTTATATGTTTTTCTGTTAAATTTTTAGATTTTCTTGTGAACATGATATTTCTTCTTTTTTTTGTCTTTGTACAGACATATTATTCTGTAGAAAGAAAAAATTAATTCATTTTTTATTTTTCATACCGTGTTTCTGTTTATTTAGTGATACCCACTTAATAGGGGGCTTATGAAGGGTCTAATTTCTTTACTGTATCCATTTACTTTAAATTAAACACATGCATATTTCTAGAAAGTTAGAGCCATTTTCATAACTCTGTTACAGTACAAAGTTTAGTCTGATTTGCTGTCTTCTGTTGACAGTATCTTTTCTATTAGCTCTTGTCCATTTCTCATCCTCCATAAAATAATTGTATTTACATTACTTTTCTACATGTGATTTAATGAACTAATCTGGGGACTTCTTTTTTATCCTGACTTGTTTTTTTTATATATATGCTAAAGTGTAAAGGAACAGCAGGGGGTTTTTTAACCTAATCTATCTATTTAATGTGATCCAAAGCACAAATGAAACTCTTTGCAACATATTCAGAAATTTAAATTGAAAAGTAAACCAGCAGTCTTACTCTTTGGAAAGTCCAGGACAAAATAACAAGAGGGAAAAATATAGGTCATATGGGCTGAGTGTTTTTGGAGCCATGCTGTGGCAAAAATCTTGGCCTGAATTGACCTGTGCTTGGCTATGTCTCTAGCTGTATGTCTTTTTACGAGGGCAGAATATTAATTGTTGAATTAAGTGGTAAAACTGGGAAATCAAGGTTCCAATGCCACAGAATGCACAGTAGGAGTTTCCACATTGACCTAGTTCTCACCCTCATAAGGTCTGCATACCACAGTCACTCCACTGCACTTCCTTCACTAGTGTATTCTTTTGAGAAGGAACCAGTCTCCTTTATTGTCTCTGTACTCTGATATGACTTTATTTAATACTCCCAAGTCCTGCTTCAGTGACTTATGCAGCCTCTCCTCATTTCAGGCTCTGTAGCTACGCCGCTGGTCCTGCTTATTTTTATGGAACTACAGTAGATTCAACTATGGTAGGATATTTCTCCTAGCTGAAGCTTTTAAAAAACAATAGAGAGTGGTTGCATTAAAATGTCTGAGCAGGTTTTCACTGTAGAAGTAATCAAAATTACTTGCTGGGAGTGAGACCAAACACAAATACGCTGGAAAAACAGTCGTGGTTGATGTTTGCTATAGAGTAACATCAGTAGACTAAAAAATATGTTTTCCATTTTATATGGTTGATTTAATCTGAATTCTCAACCACGTTTAACACATCCCTAATAATATACTTTTTCCAGTTTAAACCTGGATTGCGTGTACAGTTCCTTGTATACTTTCTTGGAAAAATTTTCTTCTTCTGTCTTCATGTCAACTGCTTATTAAGGAGACTTCATAGGCAAAACAAGTAATTTATATACAGTGTGACATGGTTTGAGTTTTACTAAGTGGCCTGTCTACATTTTTTTCTCCATATAAGGAATATATCATTCTTTGAAGCATAAGGTCTCTGTGCCTCTTACCCATGTTCCTAGACTTCTTTTTCCTTGAATCTAACAGTATCCTTTTGGAGACCTCAGAATAAATAAAAATCTGACTGAAATTATCTTTGATACAAGAAGGCCCTACTCCTAATGAAGTCTGAGTGGGTTATGTCAGTTTACTCAAAAATTGAATTTAGCCTCATGTTTTGTTGGGTCACTGTCACACTGTACTTTATTTTATATTTGCAACAGCCAAGGCCTGGACTGGGAGAGGTAGAAAAGCTCCATGATGAGATGTTACTAAGCATGTGGTTTTTTCAACAGCAGGTACTTTAGAAATTTCTGTGCAATGTGGAGTTTTTATATGAAGATTGGTTAGTATGCATCATTAATTTATTTGGTTTTCAGTGATAATACTGTTTGGTTAATCCTGATTCTTGATCTTTCTCACAATATTTACAAGAAAATTTAAATACAAGAAAGGGTTTGTCCAGCCATCTGGCATCCTCTGGGGTAAGAAACCCTGGCCTGGAGGAAAGGCAAATGAGTAATGTAGGAGCAACTAATTAGCAGAGCACTTGCATCATATTTGTCTAACAGAATACATTAACCTGTAGTTTCATGAAAGTGTAGGAGGTTACTTTTTAGAGATAATATTTTCCATGAACTGTAGAGGCAGAATTTATTTTAGTGTGGAGAATACTTCCTACAAAACTGGAAAAAAACACCCGTTTCATTTTTCTTTTAGGGAACTTGATTGTAATGTTCAAAGTGAATTCAAAGAAAACCTTTGCTTTGATCTGAATGCTGTACAATGAGTATTAATGTGAAGATGTTTTTCTGCAGAAGCTGCATTAATCTTCTGTAGTCATGTTTCTCTTGTATCAGACAAGGTTTTGAGGGTAACAGTGGCTGTTTGCTTCACTGCTAATATCAGATAGGCAAATATTTATCAGCTTCTTCCCTCTTGGAATGGTTTGCTGAATATGTGCATCTTTGGCAAGGCTGACTTTCCAAGCAATGAAACTAATCTTCATATGAGACTTACATAATTATCACACTGTCATCTCTGTTGAATGGTAGCCAATAATTGCTTTGTATTAATCAATCTTTTTTCCCAAGTTTCCCACCAAGGCTTAGCAGAGTCTGGTGAGAACATATATCCCTTATGAAGCTTCTCATGGAGGCCTGTGTCTGTAAAGTACTTCAGTCTCAAAGGATTTTCTGAGAAGTAACATATACTTGGTCTGAGCAATGAACTCTGTGTATGTGAGAGAAAGTGAGAGAATGGAAAAAGATCTGAGAAGGGGATATGAAATATGAAATCTTGGGAGCTTTCTGGAACCTGCCAACTTAAAGGAGAAGTTTTACTTTCAAGGCTTGCAAATTCTCAAAGAGTACCTGTGCTGAGTTTCACACTGCTAATGCTGTTGACTAAATCTTCTTTTAATGAATTGGTATGAAATAATAATCTGATTTGGCAAGCAGTAGTGATGGTAGGTGCAGTAAGGAAACAGAAATCAGGCCTTGGGGAGAAGATGGGGAAGGGACATGAGAATTCTAAATCTGATTACCAGTTAATTTGAAAATTTTAGCTGATGAAGTCTAAGCAAATGTCTGCCTTGACTTCACCAAGGCTTTCAACACTGTCTCTCACAATGTCCTCATAGACAAATTAAAGAAGTGTGGTCTGGATGAGTGGACAGTGAGATGGATTGAGAACTCGTTGACTCCAGAGAGTCACATCAGTGATACGGGTTCTGATTGGAGGCCTGACGCTTGTGGTGTCCCTCGTTATTCAATATTGGGAGTTGTTTAACTTATTCATCAATGACTTGGATGAAGGGCCAGATGCCTCCTCAGCAAGTTTGGTGGTGACCCCAAGCTGGGAGGAGCAGCCAATACCCCAGAGAGCTGTGCAGCCCTTCAGAAGGGCCTGGCCAGGCTGGAGAGATGGGCAGGGAGGAAATCCAGCAAAGGCAAGTGCAGGGTCCTGCACCTGGGGAGGAGTGACCCCATGCACAAGGCTGGGATTGACCTGCTGGAAAGCAGCTGTCCAGGGAAGGACCTGGGGGTTCTGGTGGACAACAAACTGTCCACGAGCCAGCAGTGTGCCCATGGGGATGAGAAGGCCAATGGTGTCCTGGGGGCATTAGGAAGGACATTGCCAGCAGGCTGAGGGAGGGGATCCTGCCCCTCTACTCAGCCCTGGTGAGGCCACACCAGGAGTGCTGTGCCCAGCTCTGGGCTCCTCAGGGCAGGAGAGACATGGAGCTCCTGGAGCAGGTCCAGTGGAGGGCAACAGAAATGAGTGAGGGATTGGAACATCTCTCTTGTGAGGAAAGGCTGAGGGAGCTGGGCCTGTTCAGCTTGGAGGAGAGAGAGCTGAGAGGGGAACTCATCAACATCTGTAAGTATCTGAAGTGAGGCTGTCAGAGGATGGGGCAAGCTTATAATATGTATAGGAGTGATGACAATTGCTTTGGCAGCAACCTACCTTACTTGCTTAGTAATTTAAGCTTATTCAAAAATGGGCATTTTAATATAGCAAAATGACAGGTAACGTACCAAATTAGTGGTTGTGCTTACAGACCAGCAGTTACTTAAACAACTTTGATGTTGAAGATACAGCTGAACATACTAAGGGATCTATCTTGGATTTATGTGCTCTTTAATGTTAGATAGGACAAAATAACAGATATATTACACTTGCTTTCAACATCTGTGTTGTAACTAGAACTAGGTGCCAATCTGAAGCCCAGGTATTGTTACAGGCTGATGTTTAATTCAAAGGGATTCAGAGGAGTTTCAGTAATGCTTAGAAAACCTGTCTTCCATCTAAGAACTGGTTTTTAGGGTTATATTTAAGATCAACTACTGTCTTTATGAGACAAGAGAGTAATGGGATCCAGATGGCCATGAACACAGTAAAAATAAAGGGGAGGTGGGTGTGGGAAGAACCACTGCTGTGACCTGTTCATTTCTAGTCATCTGTTACTAGAGGGTCCATGTCAGGCCAGCTCAACTATCCAGATTTGCAAATATTTTTAGTGGCTCATGAGACTCTTGTGCCTATCAGTAAGACAGAGTTAGCATGGCTAATCATAGCTAAAAGGAATTAATAATTTTTTGTCTCGATACTGTCCATAATTGTACTTTAGAATCTTAATATTCTAAATAATTTCTTCCTTTTTAATGTTTTGTTGTTGCTTTTGTTTGGTTTGTGTTCTGACATTTTTCATTTTTTTTCCCCTTTGTATAGGGCACCAATGCCTCTGCTCTGGAAAAAGACATTGGTCCAGAGCAGTTTCCAATCAATGAACACTACTTTGGATTGGTCAATGTAAGTGGTCAATTTTGATGTTACTTGAAATTTGCTTAGCTCCTTGGTTTGGTTTTGTTTTGTTTTTCTCTCTCCCCTGCTCTTATCAATCTTATTCTAATGCAGGATTGTCTTTTTTTTTTTTTAAGTGCTGCTCATGTTGCAATTTTAGGCAAAGTGGGTTGTAAAACTGTATCAGGTGTTTGAAGATGCCTTCATACACCCCCAGGGAGAACAGTTCTATGAATATTGCCAGGGATTAGAACATACACTTAAATAAAATTAAAAGTCTATTTTAGGTGTGAAATAGGACAGAGGAAGTGATGAAAGTATGAACAAGTTTAGGTACAGCCTTCTGCATTGGCAACTCTTAGGAGGAGCTTTTTTATTTGACCAAGGGGAAAATGAGTGAGAAGAGTGTTTAATCACTTGTTTGTTCCCATAGAAATTATATAGATATAATAGTTTTTTCCATTGAAAACATTTGTCATTCTGCTACTGAGCAGTAAGATAGAGCCCAGATATGGAATAAACTTAATGAAATCCAGTAGAAAAAAATATTTTTCTCACAAGTGGAAACCTTTACTTTGTATCCTAGTTAATTTAGAGCACCACAGTTTTTTCCATGAAGTGTCATGGTGGGTATGGAAATATATTTCTACTGCAACTACTATATGGCAAAATGGCTGGTTTGTGACAGTGACAGGAGTCAGAATTTGAAAGAACAGCTAGTTTTGTTGTGATGCACAGGGATTAATCTTGTTTTTAATTCTTCATGGCAGTTTGGGAACACCTGCTACTGTAACTCCGTGCTGCAGGCATTGTACTTTTGCCGGCCATTTCGGGAAAATGTATTATCATACAAGGCCCAACAGAAAAAGAAGGAAAACCTCTTGACTTGCCTGGCAGATCTTTTCCACAGTATTGCTACTCAGAAGAAAAAAGTTGGGGTTATTCCACCAAAGAAGTTCATATCAAGGTTACGAAAGGAGAATGGTAAGTGTAAAACTGAAAGGTATTAATGCATTGATCAAAGAAGTATAAATAAATATTGAACAATGTGATCATATTAATCAGAAACAGAGGTTAGATTTGTAAATTGCTTTTAGTACTTTGTGAGGTGTATTATTATTTTAGCATCTGTATATATGATATTATGCTTGAAATAACCGTAGCAGATTTCATAGGCTCCCAGAGGTGTGTGAATTAGTGATGTTTTCACAGCACGGTGGGGCAGACCTTACTGTAGGGTGAGCTAGGGCTGGGAATAGGGTGACACTGCTGTAATTTTTAAATTTTTTTTTTGTGGAGTATGGCAGAGAGAAACATTGAGGGCAGCTGGCAGTACAGAAACTGTGTGACCTAGGAAGGCTGCAGGCACCACCAATTTCAGAGGAATTGTCTGCAATGGAGGATAAGGAGCCGGGTACATGTGGGGTGGTCAATCCACTCCACATCAGCTGCTGCTCTGGCTCTTGGAAGTGGTGGACACGGTCTCACTTGGTGAAACATCAGACCCCTTTTGAACATTAAGCTGGCAACAGCATATACCTAATCTTGTAGTAGTTCTGTCTAAGGGATATGAGGAACATCTTGAGATAGAGAAGCCTGTCACAGCTCCATTTTGGCCTGGATTCATATCGGTGTGCATGGTATGCTTAGAAACAGAGAGGCTTTGAATGAAGAGACAAAGTATGAGTCAAACACCTGGAAGAAATTGCTTCCTGGTGACAGCATATAAATGGGCAGACTGTTCATTTCAGAGCAGACATTTGAAATCATGAGAAAGTTAACTGTGAGTCATCTAGTGAGAAATGCCCCCACACTGTTGGGGATCACTTGTAAAGACTGGATCTTATGTTTTCAGCTTTTTTAAATTAGTGCCAGAGTCAGTGTGTATTACCCTGCTTATATGTCCAGGCTAGACACTACAAAGCCAATGGTTCTGTACAATATTTTCTGAGGAAATCCATGTGAACTTTTTCAGGAGCAGGGGATAAAAATACACATTTCTGGGAACACACATTCTTTTTTCTTTGACATGGTAGGCGAGTTAAGCCTTTACTGGAGAAATCTGTACTAAATCACCACTGGGATATTTTCCCCTCTTCCTGCAAGGAATTCGTATTGAACAAGACAAGTCTTTTCTCATCAGACTTGTGTGTGAAAAATGACCTTTGTTAGGTGGTGTTATTATTACTACTTGAAGTGAGTTAACCTTGACTGGCTGCCAAGTACCCACCAAGCCTGTCTCTCACTCCTCCTCTTAGCAGGGCGGGAGGAGAAGATAAGAGGAAAAAACCTCATGAGTTGACATCAAAGTATTTTAATTAAAAAAAAAAAAGCCAAAAATTACATGCAGAAACAAAGGAAAACCAAAGGAGATTTATTCTCTACCTCCCATCGACAGATGATTTCCAGATACTACCTGATACATAGGGCCTTGGCATGTGTAGAACTTTGTTTGGAAGAGATATATCTTAATAATGAAAACCCGCCCATCTTTCTCATAGATTTTAGTGATGAACATGAAGTCACATGGCACAAAATATGACTTTGGCCAGTTTGGGTCAGCTACCTCACCTATGTACCCTTCCCAACCTCTTTCACACCCAGTCTACCAGACTTTGGGCAGGATGAGGGACAGCCTTCACGCTGTGTGAATGCTGCTCAGCATCAGCTGTAACACTGGTACATCTTCACCTCCATTTTAGGCACACCTACAAAGCACAACATCCTGTGGGCTACTGTGAGGAAAGGTAACTCCATCCCAGACACAGTACACAAGTGTATGTCAGCATCCTATGGCCTCAGTTTTCCCAGCCATGTGGCTTACTGTCAAAGCTCTGTGATGTTCCTGAGTGTCTGAGGGACTCGGAATATGGGGATGGAAGTCAGTGCTGACTAAATTTAGGCAGTAAGTGTTTAGTGTAAGGAAGTAATTTAGGATGAGTTACTCTCTTGCTTACTTCATTGACTGTAATGGGAGCCTACACAACCAACTCCAATGAGTGTAACTATTCTAGACAGCTTGAGTTAGGTGAGATGAAGCTTTCCCCCAAAGTAACTTCACTGAAACCAAGGTGTCTGGCTGCAAAACTGTTCTTTGGGATGATTCCAAATACTTTGCTGAGCAAGGGCCAGTACAAGTACTTGGAGAAATAATAATTTTCTTTCTTTGAGGAAAGGATATTCAGCTGTAAAAATCTTGACTCTCTTCACAGATCTCTTTGACAACTACATGCAGCAGGATGCACATGAGTTTTTAAATTACCTGCTCAACACCATTGCAGACATTTTGCAGGAGGAGAAGAAACAGGAAAAGCAAAATGGGAAACTGAAAAATGGCAACATGAATGAAGCTGAAGAGAACAATAAACAAGAACTGACCTGGGTGCATGAGATTTTTCAGGGAACACTGACTAACGAAACTAGATGTTTGAACTGTGAAACCGTAAGCATTGGGATAGATTTTGTTTTGTTGTTGCCCATTAATAGATAGATACATTTTGTATATATGAATATATGAATCTTTTCAGACATCTGAGAATTGTGGATATTCCTGTAGAATTTACTTCTTGAAGTGAGTATATTCTTTTCTAAAAATTTATTTTTCTAAGCATTACTTGGCTAATCTCTGCCAAGTTTTGCTGTCCTAATATATATGTCTACAGTTAAAATCCTTGCTAGTGAATCAGTACCTTTCCGTATCACTGTAACTTTGGGAGAAGTTATTCACATCTTATTTATAAAAGTGAAACGTTAAGATGATTTGTGTTTATTCCATCTTAAGAGTCTGACAGGTATACACAGGGTTCATTTTTAACAAACTGTTTTCTTTTATCTCCCTAATATTTTCTAGAGGATGATGTCAGTTTGAAATCCCTTATGTTTGAGCTATAAGTAAAAATTAATTTTTGTTGGGAAAACTGATTGCAAGTCTCCTATTGATTACTACTGTCTTTTTCAAACACATGCTTCTATTGAAAGAGAAAAAAAAAATTTTTTTTAATTGTTCCTGTGAGGTTGCATGAAAGAGTACCACAGGAAAAAAAAATCTTTGGGGAGAACAGTGACACTGACCTTCCACAAAGGTTGGAATTAACTTCACCTAACCTTTGCTTGGTAAAGCAAAGTTGATAGGCATCAAGGATGAACTAGTTATCTCTACTCCTGCACTCCTGCAGATGATGGAGATTGTGAAGGAGCTTTTGCAGGAAACTCTCTCCATCTGTCTCTAGGCTGTTTCAGGAAACAAAGTTTTTAGCAGTATCCGGTGTTCTGTTCCATACAGCTTGTCCTGGCTCCATGGTGTCACTAAGCTGTTGCAATTGTTGGTGCAGCAATGCTGAGAACTGAGTTAACAAACTGATCTGGCCCAAGAATGACTTACTTTTACTAAGATCAGTGCTGCTACTATGGGCTTCCTCAAAGAAAACACAACATTAGATTAGCAGCATTAAGATGGGAGAAGGTGCCCAGAGAAGGTATCTTCAGACAGCAAGCTGAGGTTTACACAACTGAAGTTTGGTGAGATGAACTCTACCCATGTCCTACCAGATGAGTAAAAGAATATAGTCTGATATTTCTAATCATAAAGAATAAGATTCCAAAAAATAAGTGTGGCTTTTCCAGGAACTTGGTCAGAGGAGGATGGTGAGGAGAGGAGATACAATGATAGTTGACGAAAGATATTGGAGCAAGTTTGGAACAAGCTTGTATAAGTGAACACATGACAGAGATGCTGAAAATTATTTATTCAATCTATTTCAACTATAAAATCTTGGGTAATAGCAAGTTAAAATAAGTGAAAGGTTAGAATTACTTTTTAACTGACGAGCTTCTCTAAATAGTTGTGCCTTAATTCGAAATCATTATCTAATGTTTACTCTGAGAAACTGGTGAAGTGAGGATGTGTCCTTGGGTAACAGCATAACTGCAAAATTCTGTACTTGTAACTCAAAGTTATGAAACTTTATAGAAAATGTATCTTGTCTGTAGCTCCCTCTGAGTACAGAAATACTGTAAACTACTCAGGATATTTTTCCAGTGTGTTTTCCTTGGATTAGTGTAACTTGAAATCTTAGGAAAATAGTAAAACAGATTGAAAGTTATTCCTGTGCTAAAATGTTCATAAGTAGTACATGAAGTGTCATTCAGATTTCAGCAATTCTTATTCTCACTTACAAAGAGTGCCGTTTGAATCTGGCTTTCCAGCTACCTTTAGTTTTAATCTGTATTATTCTAGCTCTAAGTAGTTCATCTTCCCTTCCAGGAAATATTTGATGTGCAGGAATCAATAACAGAATTCCTAGCTTTTTGAGGCACTCAAATGAAGCACAATGCCTGCCAAGGACTTTTTCAAGTGTTTAAGTTCTCATGATACTCAGTGTGTCTGACAGAACTCTAGCTCCAGCTGTAGAGACACGATGTTCTCTGAAGCTTTGTTGCTTTATCTTTCAAATTTTAGCTGTATATTTATACTGCAGTCGATTGCTGCCAGTTTTGTGGTTTCCTGTCCTCTGTGGGTCAAGTCATGTCTCAGGGAGGATTTTTGTTTGAAGAACTGCTGCTCATTTCAGTTGGGTGTGCATTATGCCTCTGTACATCTTTGATAATACCAAAATTAATCCAGCCAAAGGTGTTTCTCTGCATTCAGGTCTGATATGGGCTGCATTTACCAAGCTTCTAGTATCCCTGATGTAACAACAAATATGAGCTCAAGGTGCTACATAACTATCACATCCACAGCACTGCAAAAATCTGAGTGTGAGGGACTTCTGCCAGAACAATGGATTCATCTCCTCACAGAAGTTCTTGATTTGGACTTCACTATTTTCTCATCTGATTTAGTTATTCTAAAGAAATGCAATAGGAGGCAAAAACATGGGGTGTTCATGCAACATTTTATAAAAACATTGTTATGAATATGACTGAATTCATATGCAGTAAGTATTTCTGCAGTCTTTTGACTCAGTTGAAGTATTACAAGAATTAGCCATTTGGATGATTTTTTGTTAATATTACTTCACCTTTGAGATTAAACACTCTTAGTAAAAAATAATTTTCAATGCAAAAATCAGGATCTGTCGTTCTGAAAACATTCAGACTTAAATTTTTTAGATAAAAACTCCTCAGTAAAATTTTTCTCCTCTTGTTCTGTCTAAAAAAAAGATTGGCAACACCAAAATGATTTTGCAAAATATTATCACTGAGCCATTTTTACCTTTAATATTTTAATTTTTTTAAATCAAAATATTGACCAGGAACAATATCCAATGGGGAAATGTAGCTGTGTCAACCAGAAATATAAACCCACACTTTTCAGTACTCACTAGAGAGAAAGGGTAACATGGTAAAGTATGACTTTTGTGACAGAAATATATTTGGAAATTATCTTCATTGCATCCTTAATAGTGGAACTAATTAGTAAGAATAAAATGTGAATGCATATTGTAATATGCTATACAAAGGGTAAACAAATTTCTGAGAATAAAAGAAAGTAGGCTGTGTTACATTACAAGGAAACACTTAATGCACCAATCCCAGATGATATAAGGGACGATGCTTCACCTTTACTGAACAGTAGGCTGTCATTGATGGCCTGTGGTTGGTGGGATTGGATAAGTGGAATAGACAGAAGTTAAATTATATGAAAGCTGGATTAGTAGAGTTACTAATAAATATCACACTGAACATTAATCAAACTGAACTAAAAAAAAATTAAAGCATTGAAATTAATTACTTTTATCTAAGAGCAATTTGTACAGAAATAAATATCTTTAGCATTTGTTAAAGATATAAACAGCATTTAGATGTATGGCATCTCTGTTTTACATGTATGTGTTTTGCAACAGGTTAGTAGCAAAGATGAAGATTTTCTTGACCTTTCTGTTGATGTGGAGCAGAACACATCGATTACACACTGTCTAAGGTAAATGAATGCATCTTTTCAGCAGATAGCTCCAACTGCCAGATTTTTCAGGTCTAGTAGGTATAGAAAAGAAAAGTACAATAACATTTAGATTTGAACTTACTCAAAGCAGGAGAAGAAAACTTTAAACTGTATGTTTCCTCTAATGACAAAATATACATTATTGTACTTTGCTTTACGCCCTTTCTCTTTCAATGTTTATATTTGGAAGAGGAAAATAAATCAACTTTCAGGGAAAATAATTGATTGCTTTGTTGTCTGGAAGAATTGCTGCAGAATTATAATTGGCTTCAAAGAGATTTAAATGTGCTTGTCTTTAAGCTTCTACAGAAGTGCTTTGTTGATTAAGATTCATAGACATATTAAAAGTTAAGTGTGTGTTTTGTAGAATGAGTTCTAGAGTCCATAGAGGGCAAAATATTTCAAAAGTCTATTTTATTATCAGAAATAGCTTATTGTGTGTCTCATCCTAAAATTATGTGAAGTCTTTTATTCCAAATTTCTGTTCTGCTCCTAGTATATCCCTAACTTAAAAAATCTAGACATCAAAAAAATTTTCAGTCTTGCATGAGTGATTATTCTGAGAGATTTAAAATGTCCAGAGTTTTGACATTAATACAACAAACCACTACCTATATTTAAGACAATACATTGCTGTTCTAAGGTAATGATTATCAATTGGTCAAACTCCTTCAAAATTCAAAATTGCTATCAAGGTTGAAATTGCATTATTCAGTTGTTCTGGAATGCCTAGGAGGGGTTTCCTGGTGTGCCATGCCAAGGTGAGAGTTAAGAAAGAAAGAATGTGAGGTACTAACTATTTCCTGAATCAGAAAGCAGTGACTTCTCTGTGAATACAACAACTGTACTAAGTACCTTCTGTAATAACTGAAAGATTTTCCTTCTCAGTTTCTGTTCAGTCTCCCTTAGGATGCTGTAGCAGTCCTTAGCCCTCAAGTAGTCCACACTGCATTAATAAAGAGAGGCTTTGGAAAGCAGTGCATTCTCTTTTTCTTCTGTAGTCTCTTTGCCTCTTCATAGTAACCAGTAGCGCAATCTTTGTTGGTATTACAGGTTTTTGTTTGCACACTTTTGAGTTCTTCACCGGAGCCCCTACCCTGAACTTGCCAGTATTACTTACCTTTCCCTATGGTGTTCAAAGTCAGTTTGAAATCCCACTGAGCTGCAAGGGTGCTGCAGTGCCTTTGGAAGCCCTTTCTAATCTGAGTTTTTATTTGGTTCTCTGGTACTGGAGACTGAGCTCTGACATTTTCTTACAGCTGAGTCTGGTGAACATGTTAAAAACTGCTGCTGTATAGATGTTACCATCTGTCTGGCTTTCTCCAGTTTTTTGTTTACATTCTTGATTTTTATCTTCTTGGAAAAGTTTTGTTGGGAATGGCCATTTTATGTAAAGGCAGATTAAGCGCTTCATTAAAAATGCCAATAGCATTTCTTCTACTGAACAGACAGTGACTGTGGCTTACGAGATGTAAGAACTGCATCTGCACAACTGCAATCAACAGTGAATGGTGGAGTTGAAAGTGACTCCAAGGAGGTTATCCCCTGTTTCATGTCAGAGAGGATGCTTAGCCAACCTGTTCCAGAAGATCTTTTCAGCAGTATTATCTTGATTGTCTATCTCAGTCCTTCTTCTTCTTTAGTACTAGTAAGTTTTTCCTGCTGTATAATATGAATCTTTGGTGTTTCAGTTCAAGCCTATTTCTACTTGCCCTGAGTACTCAAGATATAAACCAGGGGTTGCCCCCATTCCCCTTCAGTGGCCTTTTACATACAGGAAGAATGTAATCACTTTTTAAAAATTTAAACAGCCTAAGGTCATTCAACTTCTCCTTCTTAGGCTATCTTCTCTGGATCTCTACACGTGTTTATTACTCTTCAGCCTTCTCTCCTATTGCACCTCTCTCTTGAACTCTGTCTTTCTTGAAGTTGCTGTCTAGAACAGGATATAATATTCCAAGAGAGATCAATACAATCCTGAGAAAAATGAATGCCCTAAGTCTCTTTATGCATTCCAGTGTAGAGCCTTTACTCCAACAGCATGACATGCATTTTGAAGTTTATCCATTGCTCCTTTTGGAAATAAAGGAAAGCAAAATCCCGATTTTTCTTTTCTTGAGGTGGTACAGGCCACTATTTACAGATTGAATAGGAGGAGAGTTATCACCTCTCATTTATTCTATTGTGTTTTATGTTAGCAACATTTCAACTTCTGTTTAGAAAACATATATTCAGTTAGAATATGGATTTCCTCTCATTGCTGCTGGTATTATGCATTATTACACTAAATGTAAGTGCTTTTGTGGTTTCTTTCAATGGGAACATCCAAGTTATTACTCTTTTTGCAATCTTTGCTGTTTCCTTTTTTTTAACAACTGCTTTGCTGTGTCTTAATAGCTTTAAGGGCTGCTGCATTTAAAAGGTCAAATACAGAAAAGCTGTGCAAGATAACATTTAAGTATAATGAATCTCTTTACCACTACAGATGACTGTTCTTTTATTTCTGTAGTTTTTCAAAATGTAAAAAGTCCTTGAGTGCTCAAGATGTCTAAAGGACAGAAATAATACAAGCCTCTGGCATGGTCTAAACCCACAGGATAGACAGCTGGGCCTGAAGCAATAAAAGTCTTATAACAAATATAGTATGTATACATTGTTTTTATTTCCACTTGGAGTTGCAATGTTTATCAGTCAGTTTGATCCTGACTGGTATAATAATTGATATTACACTAATAATTCTCTCATGTCTTAAAACACAAAATTAATACTATTTATGCATATAAGCAATAGGAAGCATTTTTCACACTGTAGCAGAGAGGCTGTAGAAGCACAAGGTCAATGATAAGTTAGTACATCTTGAGCAGGTATATTTAAAAATTTCTTTTTCTTGCTAAAATAACATATAAGCAGAATGCAGATTGGACTATTAATGGAATAGGAGAGAGTTAGACATATCTTGAAACTAGCTTTGCAGGTCTAGAGAAGGGTTCTGCAAAGCTGTGGCTCTTGCACATGCAGACTTTGGGAACTCCAGTCAGTGATCTGTTGTTTTTAACTGTTCAACATCTATTAGAAGTGCCATGATGAAAATTCTTGATTGCTGAAAGAGTTACTGAAGTTGAAATTATTTCAATCCTAACCATTTTTCAGTGAAACATTTTTTTCTAATACTACCAAGAATAGATACCACAATGCTACTAATAAATAAATAAATACTAATAATAATAAGTAGTAATACTAATAATAGATATTAATAGCATCAGAATAACCAGTATATTTTAAAAAGAATTCAGAAACTCTTTGAGTTTAATTAATTTCCATGGGAGACTTGGAATAAAACAAACCTACATCTATCAAATTTCTACCATCTGCATATGTTTGTTCATGTTAGAAAAACATTTTTCCTTGCTTCACTTTGAGATGAGAAGAAAACTAATAAATTCCCCAAACTTGTTTGCTTTTTTTTAAAATTTTGACTGTAGGCTTTGAAAATAAATCTGAGACTCCTTCTCTAACAGCCAACCTAAAATTTTCACAGGCACATTCTACTGAGTTTTACATTCCCTGCACACATAACTAATCTTTAATATTTTCTAAAATTTCAGCTCTTCACTTACCTGAAAGGTTACCATTCTTTTCAGAGGAATTTGCTGAATCAAATTAATTTTATATTTAAATTAAAATGTGTAATCACATATTGAGATCAGTATTTACCACTGAAGCAAATCCTTCCCAGTAACAGTTTCTTTTCTTTTAGATAAAAAATAGTATTTATGATCAAAATTTAGCTGTAACTTATCTTTCAAAATATGTATTTTTTCTAAGTTTCAGCTTTTTCTCCTCAGTGTTAAGACCTTATAAAGAAAATAAATCAGTAAAAGTAATCTCAGTTTTTAAAAATATGCAGTCATATGAAGTGCTTCTTTGTCATGCTCTGTCAGCCTTAAGCTTTTATGAAGTTAGGTAATTAACTTCTAATATCTATGCCCTAGCAAACTGTGTAGTCTTCATCTCTCCCACCTACCCCTATAGTGATGATGTCAGGAAGAAATAATCACCCAGAATCCTCCCTTTGCCTTGTAAGACAATTCTGGTGCTGCCTGCTGTGAGAGCAGGCTGAAGTTGCAGACAGTGGGGATTCAGCCTCCATGAATGTGAATTGCAGTGCTAGAATTTGCCTGGAGTTCAGAAGCCTGTCAGGTACAAGGTAGGGACACTCAATAAGACAGTTCTGGAATTCTAATATAGCTATTTAGGGCCCAAAGTCACAGGAAAACCCATGTGTTTAAAATGGAAGGTAGGTGCTTATATCTGCATTCACAGTTCTCAAAACTCCTGCTCAGCTGCAATGTAACACAAGAGATGACAAAAATAATTACTGGGTGGTTTTTTTTTACAGTTAAGTGATGTTAGGCACCTTAAATTTTGCTCCAAAGCATATCAGCACTGTGACTTCCAGCAAATCTTTTCTGTGAGCTGAGAGATGCTATCAGACCAGTGTTCCACTGCCTTTGTCACTTTAAAAACTCAATCCAGAAATATCTCCAAGTGTATTTACTTGATCAGGATTTACAGAATTTTCTATACCAGCTGCCTCTTTCCTTTTTTAGAAAATGGAAAAGTATAATCTATAAACTTCTGGATAACTGTTCAAAAGGTTAGAGGATGCAGGAAACTAAGTTCAATTTATTTCTTCTTTCTAAGAGGATTCAAACCTTTCTTATGGAAGAACACCATAAAACATGAGATATCGGGGGATGGCAGAAGTGCACTTTAAGTTGCTTTATTCTGCAAATAATTTAAAAATAAATAGAATGAATTGAGTGATTATACCCAAATCTGGGCAGCGCCTTTATGTGAGAGACCAGACAGAGGTCCCCATTTTGAGACACCTGGCCTTTATTTGTATCATACAGAGGGCCTCAACTCCCAATATAACTTGTCATAGCAGCCAGATACCCTAACTCTGTTTGCAAACCCCAGTACAATTGCTTCAGATGCTTTAGAAAACTGGAATGGGTGAAGATTTCATCCTGTGTGTCTTTTGGGTTCCAGTTCATCAGCCCAAGTAAATGTATTCATATCCATAAAGAACTGATGATTGTATTTTTTTACAGAGACTTCAGTAACACAGAGACACTATGTAGTGAACAGAAATACTACTGTGAAACTTGCTGCAGTAAACAAGAGGCACAGAAGAGGTAAGCAAAGAGCAGGCTGTTTCACCATGCTCCTCCTGGGCTCTGGCAAACTTACTCCTTGATATTTATTTTGTTTAAATACCTAGAAACCTTTCATCCCAAATGCATTCTCTGTGTGGATGAGAGAGCCTGCAGACAAATTTAAAGGCATGTGTCTTAGTCTAGAAGCTACTCCTAGTTGATTATTGTTACATACAAAGTGCTTTTATAATCCAGCCATTTGCTTATTAAGGGAAGAGAGAATGGCCATGAACTGGTCAGGTGTTCATTATATGCATTCTTAATGGTTTCACAGGATGAGAGTAAAAAAACTGCCAATGATTCTTGCCTTACACCTCAAGAGATTCAAGTACATGGAGCAGCTGCACAGGTACACGAAGCTGTCCTACCGGGTCGTGTTTCCCCTGGAGCTGCGGCTCTTCAACACCTCCGGCGACGCCGTCAACCTGGATCGCATGTATGACTTGGTGGCTGTGGTCGTTCACTGTGGAAGGTGAGGGGCCTCCATGTGTGTCACAGGCTGCTGGCAGGTGTTGGCCAAGGGCTGAGCTACCACTGACAAAATATGGGGAGGATGGACTTAAAGCCTACTGCTGCATGGACTTGCACGTGTCTTGGGCTGGACCATTTAACAAGCATCCCTCATCATAAATCTGTACTTGTTTAAGAAATAATGTCTCAGGTCTCCAAAAGTCACAAGCTTGGCTTAAATTGATAAAACTACCTCCTTCCTCACAAGACCCCTTAAAAAAGTTGGGAGTCAGGACTCTGTGAGGGCCAAAGGCTGTCATCATGTCATCTGTTGTGAGACATACACGTCATCATGTAGGTCTCACAACAGATCATTTTGGTCCATTTTCCCCCCTATACTTAGTTCTTGCAGTTTTAAATTCATTTAATGCCCACCATGAGCAACTTGTTAAGCGTTCTGTAGGATAATTTGCTAAATGATCCTGGCACAGATGAAAATAACACCTTTAGCTTTCAGCTGATTAGCTTTGCAACAACTTAAAATAAAAATGGAAAGGACTAAATGTCTGGAGTACCTGATTTACCATGATTTTTATAACATTTAGTTATAATTCTGCATTCATAAAGAAATGTGACTTTCCAAAATGGACTCAATAGCACATTCTAATATTTTGGGGTTTTGTTTTTCTTTCTAGTGGACCTAATCGAGGGCATTACATTACTATTGTGAAAAGTCATGGATTTTGGCTCTTGTTTGATGATGACATTGTAGAGGTCAGTATGCTGAAGGTCATGAGCACAACTTTTTTATTAATGTATGCTTCCCTGCTTGGGGTTAAAATTCTGATCCAGAACTGGGTAGAGAATACCAGTCTACAAAGCCACAGTTTGGTTGTAATGTTTATTTCAATTCTGTTAGGAAGAAAGATTGTAAACAAAATTATTAGTCCTGTAGTTTGTGCTCTGTCAGTGTCAGAGGGATTTTTTTATTTCATAGCAAGATCAAATGTTTTTAATACCAGACTTAAAGAGTTTAATTTTGAATGTTTTCTGTATCTAAAAAAATAAATTTAATTCATTAAAACCATTTCACTTAGTAAAATTGAACTAAGTAAAGCTAGCATTACTGTAGAATTTTCAGTTTTGAATAGGGAAGTTAGAAAAGACTCTGAATTGTGTTGTTGATCTGGGATTGCCTGAATGTAGATTAGAGTAGAATCTGTCCCACAGCTATAGCAGATTCTGTCTGAACACTCTGAAATTCATTCTTATGCAAACCCTTTTATGTCATTGTGGCCCACTGGCAAAGCTGGGGTTTTGAGTCTGATTTCCCAAGAGGTAAGGAAAGTAAGCACTGGGATGTTGGATGGAGCAAGTCTTGAGGAAGATTTCTGAAAATTTGAGAAAGACGGGATCACATGGTCACATTTATGTGTTTTAACAGTGTTTATTACTGCATTCCAAGGAGTCTCTCTGTTATTGGAAAAAGCCTAATTCAGTTATGTTCAGTGACAGAAACATGCCTATGAATTTCATGAGTGAGATCAGCAAGGCTCAGCCCCTAATCTTTACCCTTTCGCTGCTTAAATTGCAAACAGAATTTGCTAATTGCAGTAATTTAATCTGTACTTAGTATTTGTTTTATCTAACAGCATATTAAAAAAATATTTATTTTGCAGAAAATAGATGCTCAAGCTATTGAAGAATTCTACGGTCTGACCTCTGATATATCAAAAAATTCAGAGTCTGGCTATATTTTATTCTACCAGTCAAGAGAGTGACTTGGCAAACCGTGGTGACTGCGCACAAGGATGCTGCACACAGAGGAAGGCACCAGCTCCCCTGAAGTGACTTTTACACAGCCCACATCTCGGATGGTTGAACAACAATACACTGTCTCCTGTTCCATGGTTTATGTAATGCTGACTGCAACCGTCCACATTCAGAACTTTGTTTTAGGGGGGACGTTGTTTGTAGTTTTTAAGTCTGATTGAAGAGCTAATTGAAGTCAGATTTTAGTGGAATTTATATGGACTAACATTTACAGATAATGAGATTTGGATGTCAACTGTTAAACCCAATCCAGCTAGAGTAGTATTTTATATGAAAGTGTTCATTACATTTAGGACAAAATTATTTAAAACTTTCTAGATGGTTTTGGAGTGTGTTGATTTACAAAGCATTCCTTTAAATACATCCTGACATGTACTTATCCCGTTTAAGTGTAAGGAAAAAAATCAGTTTCATGTTTATTTGAGTTGTGGTTGTATAGGGGATTTTTTTACATGTTACTCTGCTGCAGAAAAGATATTCTTCCAAAATAATTTAAATTTGGATTGTTAAAAACTTTCAGAGTGTAACCACAGGCCTAAAATTCACATAGAGGTATTTAAATTACACTGGAACTAAGTAATTCTGTATGTTCAGCCACTTTGTCATGAGATAGTACAGATGAGGTGAGATTTCAGAACTTACAGAGCACTGGAATAAAGGGAGTAAGATCGCACATATGATACAGAGATAAGTTGCTTTTATAAAGATTGAGCTTAGATTTTTGTTAAAATTATATAGTTTACTTGGATTGTGTTGTGATTGCAACACTGCTCACATGTAACATATCCATCAGGACTGAAATTATCCAGTCCATTTAAATAAGCATTGTTTGTACATACGACACAACTTGATCCTGCAATTTTCTCAACATCTGTAGGTCCCATTTTCATTTCTCAAGACAGAGTCAATTTCTTAGGAACATGATACATACCAACCACTAGTGTACATGCTACCATGTATATATCATCCTTAACATTTTGGTCATATTTGACAGAGTTTTGTCACCACAGAAACAGATAGGGATCTGGAGTGCTTGATTTCCAAATTAGTACAAAAGACTAAGTTTGTGATTTTTCTGGATTAATTTGGCTGGCACTTGTCATGTACTGACTAATAAAATTTCTGAATTCACCTGACTACCTGAATTTGGCAAAGAATAAATGTAGAAGAAAGTATCAATAGGGTTTGAGAAGGGATTGATAGTGGCTTGAGTCAGTGGTCATGCTGGGTAGCTACCTTCTTCAGTTTGCCACTTCCACTCCATTATACAATTCTTGAACTTCAGTAGCCAAAATCCTATTCCAATGACATAACAGCAAAAACACTCTTCTTTGTCTTCATGGGGACTGACAGTTCTAGTATTTATAAGGAAATATTCTCACCCCACAAAATTTATTTCTACCTGTTACATTTTATTCACTCATTATGTATTTATCAGACAATGTTGATTTTTGTCTTTTTTCTTTAAGAAGCCTGCCTGACACTTTATGGCCAACACTCCCTTTCAAGAAATGGCTTTTGGAGTTCAGCTGCATCTCATATTTTAGTCTTCGGTAGAAAAGATAATAGTGTTTTTCATTGTTCTCTACTGTGAATGTGAAATATCTTTTGTGAAATATTGGTGAAAATTAAGTAGCTTCTACTGTGACATCATTTGAAGTTCAGTTGGATTTTTCAATGGCCATTTTTTAAACTAAGGCAATGTAGCACTTTACACTATATGAGAAACAGAAGTGGACTATTCAGCAAAGATTATTTGTGATTTATCATGTTATTATACTGATGCAAGAAGGGAGACACAGAATGTAACCTTAGAGGACTTAAGTGAATAAGAGTAGTGGTCTACAGAGATCACTCACATGAATGAAGGCTGGTATGCAGGCTCAAGACAAGTATAATTAGCATGCAGCCCTTATTCTTTTATTGATGTTAGAATGAAATATTCTGTCTCTAACACAGAAGATAGACATCTTACAGCAGACTTCAACTCCCACTGAGACCCGGGAGCTTTTCCACTGAAAATCTAAACCTGCAAATCCCTCTTTAATTGATTTATTTACAAACATTCAGAATTTCTATATAAGAAGATAAAAATTACTGGCCTTTTAAAATAGATAAGGTTTCCTTACTGTGAATGAAATCACTTTCTAGATCAGCATTAATCCATGCTGGACCAAAGGTCTGTATTTTGCAGTTTAGTACTGAACATTCTTACAGCATTCTTTTGTTTTAAAAGATTCAAAAAACCAGATATTCTCAAGGTCATAATTTGAATCTTCTGGGATCATGTTTATATGAAAAGTAAGTTTTCATAAAAATAATTTTAAAATCAGTTTAATTTTAGGAAATATATTGCTTATTTCAATCGACCTATGGGCAAATTGGTTTTAAAAATGTTAATAGTTTGAATTAATATTTAAATGCTAAACTGCAGAATAATAATCTATTTTTCTCCACTGCAAGACAGCTTTAGATTGTAAAACATACAGATCATTGCAGTAAGTTATTGAGAGGAAAATTACTAGAATAAGCTGTTTCACAAAGTATGAAAAAGCAGTTTCAATTCATGCTGGCCCATGGAAAGATCATAGCACCAGTATCACACCAGTCCAGCATCAGTAGTCTGACATCAGCTCTGAAGCATTGTGGAATACACAGTTCATATTAACATTGGCTAAACTAAGGAGCATTTTCTTTTGATTAACAAAGTTGTGGTCACAATTCTGTAAATTGGATCCAGTCTCCAGTGCGCTGAATGTCTTACATCAGTCCAAAAGCTGTCTGACACAGCTGTATGAAATGTGCCAGTCTAGGCAGAGGAACTCTTCTTTGTGAAATTAAGCACATTCACTCAGGTTTTGCAGGACTGGGATCCCCACAGGATCAGTCTTATGGTGTAAAGTATTTCAGTTGATTAAATAAAGCATAATCCTTTTTCTCTTATGCTTATGCATAGATTTCCAGTCCCTTATGAAATAATGGAAAAATACCTAAGACAACAAAAGACTTTCAGCTAGCAGCTAGAAAACAAAATGCTAGCACAGATCTCTAATACTATTGTGTGCTTCCCTAAACTGACTCTATTTTATGGTGTCAGGTCCATGCTGTTGCTGAGATGCACTGTCCATTTATAAATACTATTACTATGTTCTTTACTTAGAAAAAAACCTCATTTTTGTCTTGTCTGTGTTTCCACAGCACTGCAGTGCTGATGAATCAGTTCTCTTACAGGATGAGCTCAAAACTCAGCTTCTGTATTTCAAGAACAGGCTGTCGGGATTTTATGGCATTTCTAATGTGGGGACATAGCAGAGGGAGGCAGAAGAGTGGAGTGATGGAAAAGCCATACCAATGAAACAGAACACCTTTTTGAAATTAGGTCCCAAAATTACTCCTGTCAATTCTATTTTAACAATTTAGTTACCTCAGAGTGCTAGATTATGTATGAAAAGTTTTGTTCCTTTAGCAGTTGGAGCAAAGAAAACAAAGAAGCAGGAGTTCCCTTCTTATCAGGTTTAGTATAAATTCAACTGAAATTCACCTTACACGATGGGTCCTAAAGTGTTATCACAACCTTTTCTCTTCAGACATTGCATTTCAGTCACTCTCTTCTGTTCCAACATCATGTAGTTGGCACCTGAGCTGACAGCTTGCAGCTGCCATTGATTTGATGCCTCTCAACAGAAAACCCTTTTTGTTTTATCTCTTTTTGGCTGATAGTTGTGAGCAGTGTCTTACAGCTGAATGAATACTAGAAATTTTATTAAGTTTTGACTGTGTACCTGTTCTTTGCTAATATCTTTTAGAAGGGTTTGTTTTAATTTATTTTGCTTTTGTTGGTCTGTTACTGTATTTGTATAATAACTTATGTGGTTAATACTATTTGTTGTGCTTTAATTTTTATGTATTTTTTAAAATGTAATCAACCCAAGCACTTTAAGCAACAATGTCAATCTTGTGAAATTCCAATCACCTTAATATTTTGCCTTTCTCTTACTGCTTTTGGAGCTGTTTGCTTGTGATCCAATATCTCTAGTTACAACTCAATTTCCATTTTTAGGCTTGTAGTCCTAGCTGGGTTGTAAAATTGGAAAGCCCAAGCATTTTCATACATATTTGTTCATATATAAGACGTACCTGATGAGTTGCACTCTGCACATTTCCCAGCCTCTTGTGCTCTCTGCCTGCTGACCCATCTGGGGATGACTGCAATACTTCAATCTGTGACACAGTTATCAATGACTAAAATTTAGAAAAGCTCTAGTTCTTACAGGAGAATTCTCTTTTATGAGACAGAGAGTCAGCTGTCAGTCAGCTGATAATACAGGTATTGCTCTCTTTGCTGCTTTATAAATGCTCTGTTTGGTCTCAGCTGTGAATAATCTGATGAGCCACAATTATTCTTGGCTACTGTGTGTGTGCTGGCAAGGAGAGTAAATTTTTGCATCTTTCTTCTCTTCACTTGGGCCAATATGAAGCAAAGAGATAATGAAGTAAGATAAATGCTTGTGTAAAATGATGGGTGTTAGAGGGCAGCATCTGTGGTGTCCATATCAGAAAGCCAGTGACTTTCTGTGTTGTTAATGCAAGGGTTATTCCTAGTGCTTTAGATACTGTATTTTCTTTGATCAGTGAAAGGACCAGAACTTTTTCTTGTTGCATCTGTTCTGATCCTGAGGTGTTTCTTCTCAATTTAACATGGTCCTTACTATGTAAATAGCCCTTGGCAAGGCTTGATAGGCACCCATTTAATTTCTTTTCAGTTAGTATGCATTACTTCAAAGAGATTGCTTGAACCTGTCTACAAAATGTATTCAGATAGCACAGTTCTTTTGCATACAGGGTCAAATAACACCTATCAGGAGGTATGTGCCCACCTGATGGGACCATCTGGCTAAACCCACACCATTTTACATACTAATGATTCTTAACCCTCTAGGAGGTTTGGTTGCTGGCTTTGCCTGACTGATTTAATACAAAACTGCAAATAACTCCCTTTATTCATGATCTCTTGCTATAATTCTTTAATAAATTCTGTTTCATTTGGTTATCAAGACTTGGGATTATTGTACTATGTAAAATAAATTGTGTGTGCCATTC